TATCTCGCTGGCCAGGAGATGGAAGAATCTACCATAACCACAATCTGCCTTATTCCTTACAAGCAAATTCTATCATCGGTCAGATTAAGGATACAGTCAGCGAGATAATGAACTAGAAAGAGGAATAAGCGATTTACTTTCAATGACCAGAAAAAACATCCCGATGTTCTCCTGAGACAGTTTACGGGAAGCGCGCCCCAAAGGTCCGACAGAAGAATTGTGTAACATCTCCTGTGAAACGCCATCAAACACAAGGCACAAATGGGCTGAATTCCACAGCTCTTTAAGGAATCTGATCCCTTTTACTTCACCAAATACCCCTAAGTGTGCAACGGTGAAGGGGATATTTCAACAAATGATGTCCCCAGCTCCACAGTATGAACTTACTACTCCAATTCGGGTGGTAGTCTGATTCCAATGATAGATATTCGACATGTTACCCTCTTACCTGATCAATGACGGTGATCTGGGGTAATATTTTATAAGAAGCGGACCGTTTCGAGTCCAGTATGAGCTGTCTTACGTAATGCTTTAGTTTCTCACATGCCTTGATTTAGGAAGACACAATCTGTCCGATTTGTATGGTGCAACAAATATCAGACTCCAGTGCACGTCGACTGAGAAACATAATTTAGGTCACCTATTCAGGTTGACAATTCATTTTGACACTGGGATGTAGATCACACCTAACAGCGGTGAAAACCTGTTGTCCACTAGAAGGGCTCGGTCTTACTGTTGTGGTTTTGCTGCTGTCAATTGAAAAAAAAATCCAGCTAGCATCAAAACTGGGAACAATATGGGTGAAAGTCTAAGTTTTTACACGGCGGCCACAACTCACCGCAATGAGGCGCGTTTTTATCAGCCCGGCCAAAGTTAATGGATTCTCCTGACTGAGTACAGCAATGTCATCAGCTAGCTGTCCTGGCGTCGACGGATGACTGGTCTGTATCATTTCCAACAAGCTTGCAACTTTTGCTTTGGATGCGGGTATCCGATAAATTCCCTGAAAGTGAGAGAGTAGTTGAGCGGTGCATTATTTGTCAAGGTGAACATATTGTAGACCAGTAAAATATCAGTGAATAATTCTGTCTCACATGTGTTTCAAGCCCTCCTGGTTGCTTTTCAATAGCTGCAATACATCGAGCCAGCGGGATACAGGCTGCATTGTACTCTTTTTCCAAGTTGTTCGCTTGGTTTGCCAAATTGTCCAGTGATTCTGTGGTAGCTGAGCCTGGTACGACGCCGGCTTGTGAGGTTGGGGCGGACGGCTGACTCCGTTTACCCCGTATGGACTTTTTTGAATCCGGACGGAAGAGACTTGAGCCAAACTCAACAATGGAGGAAAGGACGTTGCTACCAGTTGAAACAATCCCCGTCGGTTTGGTTCCTGGAGGCGCGCTACTGTCCGCAGGTTGTTCGGTCTCAGAGTCCGAATCAGAGTGGATTCCCGCTAAACAAATTTAGATATACAAATTTATAGATATCCGTAATCAAGCATGGTATACTTTTTTTCGTGGTTGTGCTTGGATAGACATTCGCCTTGACACTGATGGTCAGTTTATGCGATCCAAAGTGTCGCGAAATTAAGCTAGATTGAAACCATAGTGAACGAACCAACGCCTGCAAAGATGAAAACTCGGTGTACACGTTGTCTTGAGCCATTTTGTTACGTGACTGAAAAATAAGAACCCTAAACTTCACTTTAGTTAGTCTCTTAGTTCAAATAAGGATGTATGTTTTTGGGACGGCAGGGAAAGTCCCTCTTTAAATGGTGAAAAACTATTTTGTCTCGAAAGAACGCCAGCAGCGAATGAGTTATCATTTTTGTTGTTGTTGATTTCACAATCTAAACCTTAAAAACAATTTCCTCCCACGTAGCAAAAGTTGGACTCCGAGAAGATTACCACAGTTATATGTCAGGCAAGCAATCAAATAACAAAGGTGAACAAAGTGACTTTCTGTGCTGACACTACCTGACAGGTAAGTGTAAAATTTTCTTTGTCGATCACTCAGGCAAAACCTATTTGAACCGATGTACCCCTGTCTTTCTGATACAACCGTGACAACAGCAGTTATTTGTGTTTCGATTTACTTCTGACAACAGCAACAACCCAGGAATGAAACAGGCCCAGTTGAGTTTCAGAGTCTGGCTGCCTGTATAACATCTAGCCACTTACTTCATGAACAGGCATAATCAAAAGATTCGTTGCTCATTATCTCTCCCGCGTGTCCACCGCCGCAGAAATATATACTTAGATTTTGCTGACCAGCCATATTTCAGTTTGCCAACAGCTGTCTAGAGATTTGGCATTTTGTAGACTAAATCATCGGATATCCTGATTGATTCCTATCTGATCGAGGTAAAACATCTCGCATTGAAATTGCTGTTCCGGTATTCCCGATCGAAGGTAACTTGGTGCGACAATCGCTGGCTTGTTAGAGGACACAAGTAAGCAGCGAAGAACAGCAGGTAGTCAGTCAGATAGACAGTTTTGGATAGTCATACTGGACTGGCGGCCAGTCTCGAAAAAAAAAACAATCGGGCCCCTTCTAAGCTGGTGGCACTGATCAGCCATATTCAACAGCAAACCGAACTGACGTCCCGTTTTACCTTTCATTACTCAAGATTATTACCAGACCATTTGAATAAACAGAATGAACGGTAATGTGGAATAGGTTGTGGTCTTGATAATGGATTCCCTAATAGCAATCAAATGGCAAGATGAGTGCAAATGCACGAAAATTAGTGAGCTTCCTTGGGCGCATGCTCTAGTAATGCGCTGGGAATCGTGAGCGTCAATAAATGGCAGACTGTCTTCAGAGGCAGGTGGAGCAGGTGGACACAGCACTTCATTTCAACCAGAGAGACAAAGTTCCTGATGCCATTTAAACCCAAGCATTGCAACTTGATGGCATCCAATGCTATTCCATTGATGATAAACCAAATATCTAACAAAGTTCTGCAAAGACTGTCCGAAATGTAGCTGGTGAAGTCCAACCATTGGTCTGGAGGCTTGGATTTCCACGCGGGATACAAATAGGTCGAGCTCACCATGCGCTCCTTTTCTCTAATGCCTCTTTATTTGGATACAGTTCGCCCGTTTTTTCAGTTACCATAGGAGACAAACACTTTGCAAGTGCAATTTTCGATTTTCCATTATGGGCTGAGTCATATGCACTAGCTACAGGCTAAATGTGTTCCTATTATGATGCGTTGTACCTTAGGATAAAGGCATGACAATAATTTCAAAATAAGGAACCAAAAAATGTCCTCGTCAATTCATCAGAAGAGAAAACTGCATGCAGCAAATAAAATAAAACTAAATCTGGCGACGTCTACCCGTGGTATTACAGCCTATAGTCAACAGTGTCTGAGCAAAAGTGCCACTCTTGCGAAGATGATCACTGGATTAGTGACCTCTTTATAGGGAACCACAGAATTTATCTCACCAGCACGCCAAACTTACTGTCATGATATTCTTTGTTTGCGGAATTTGAGAATGGACTTAAAGTTAAGCATCAACCGTAATGAAATGGTTGTGGGAACACGGCATTTTTTCTAGCCCTTAGAAGCTTTTGGGATCACTCCGCTCAATAATCACCCTTTCCTCAGTACCAATCCAGCGGGGATTTTGGTAACTCAAAGGCCTTGCCACCTGGGTTAAGAGTGGGTAATGTAGGCAAAACCTAGTCATACTGGATACAACAAAAGAGAGAACTATGCAACTAATTAGGAGAGATGTCGTTCGATTACATGAAGTTATGTCAGTAACTCGACAAAAAATTGGCTACTGCTTGTCTCTTATTCTTTCCTATCTGTAATGCGTATTGTATATGTGGAAATTGGCACGGCGTTAGGTAAAATAGAGTCAACTGATGTCATGGAGCACAGTTAAGGTTTTTCCGGCGATACTGCATTTTCAAGTGGCAAGTGCGGGTCAGTGGTAAAGTACGTAGCCGCTTGACCTTTTGACTTGGAGGTCACTTTGTTGGTCCTAGGAGTGTGTTCCATCAAGGGATGTGGCTACATAAAACATCCTGGGCTAAAGTCTTTCAGACAGAAATGAATGCTAACCACTGGGAGTTTCTAACCTATAAGAACTTGACATAACTGGTTTAGCACGAAACGTAAGGATAGTTTAAGACAGGTGTACATTATTCAGTGGTGTTATTTCAAAGTTCGATGCACATTTATATGCCTGCCTCTTATGTGTTGATCGGGGGGATCATGGAAACCGACAGTTGCCTCTAGAAAACCTCAGTAAGCAAACGAAATAATGGATCTTAAATTATGCCGAGGTGAGTAAACGTACTCCAGTTCCTTCACTGAGATGTATGACGTCATTCAGTCTATCGAATAAGGACTAAGAAATGTAATAAAAATACCTATCAATAATCACATTGTATTTGTAATGCATTACTCATAAGGTTGCTGAAAATTCGTCGACCGCCCTTGACCGGTTTCGAGCTTCTTGGGGCTCATCAGGTAGGCGGAGTCCCCGAGTTTCCGTCAACCTTATGTTATACTTGAAACCAAAAGATTGACGGAAACTCGGGGACTGCGCCTACCTGATAAGTCCAACAAGGGCGAAACCGGTCGTGGGCTGTCTTGGAGTTTTCAGCAACCTTATGAGTAGTACATTACAAAAATATACATGTATCGCGATATCTCGAATATTGTAGCGACTGAAACATGAGACGGCTTGGTGTAGCACATTCAGTTGCCTGAGGACATCACAAACGAGAGATTCAGCTGGGTTCCAGGTGGGTCTCTCGAAAAAATCAAATAGTTTGCAAATGAGTGTATTTCGCTACTAACCACATTGCCCACCAAAGTCCCTATCCCTAATGACAATGTTTGAAAGTGTCGTAATATATTCGGACCATCTTCGAAACTAAGCGGACAAACTTTTCCATCAACTAGAAGAATATGCTAGAAGCAGCCACAAATGCAGAATGAAACGGTAAAAGCGCTTGAACACTGATATCCCGGCAGTCGCCCAGTGCAGCTTTCTGTGTAACTCCGGTCAGTTCGTTTAACAGACTGGAAACTAAATGATAATTTCATTCTCCTCCATTTACTGGTTTGTTTAGCAGTCATCTGATCCTTATTGGTTCAGTCAATTGCTCTAATTTAGTGCTTGCCTCACACCTGAAAACGACATGTAAAACATGGGTAAATACAAAATTCGTGGTTTGACTGAGATGATAGAAATCACAGACTGAGTTCCATCCACACTTCTGAAAACATCCAACGCACTAAAGTGGTAGGTAGGTAGTGTACATTACACAAAGTGCCATGAGGAGACATCATAAATAACGTACATAACGGATCCCCATCGCTGGCCTCCCGTGACGATGCCGAAATTCGCCCACCTATTCGACCGGATGTGGATTCCAATCTAAACCAGGACAAAAAAGGGTTAAAATGCATTGAAAACCACCCTGAAAACAGCGTGTATTCTTTCAGCACATTCAAAAGAGGGTCAGCAACCAAAACTAATCTAGATGAATACAATTTTCGCATTATAGGTGCCTCGTCCCTTGGTCAAACAATGATTTGGCAGCGAAGTATAAAAGCCATCACCAGCATCAGCTGCCCTGGTCATTGCCGTCTTCCTGGATGGAGACCCCGAGATGGGCCATATCAATGGTCAGAGACATTGGTAGACATGGCCCAGTCGCACCATCAGTGGCGCTCACATATCCAAGCTCTTGCTTTCAATGCATAGCTCCTTTCCAAATCCCCTCACTTAACAGTCCACCTACAATGCTGTATTTACGCACTTATTTATCAGCCCCCGCTTCCATTGCGCAGCTACCTATCCCACTTCCTCGAATCATCGGTGAACGAAACTATGGCAGCCACAACCGCCGTACGACAAGTACGCGGTTAGTACCGCTGACGATGATGATGGCGATGACGATAAGTCCCTCGTTCATGAGATGAGCTTACACGTTTAGTCTAAACTATAACATTTACAGTAGTCCGAGAATATCTGGTACAAAAACATGCGACACACGGCCACCAGTTATATGTACTGTCAAACTAGCGCGGAGTGATTCTGTAACGCCAAAGTTTGCGAAAACGCGAAGAAAAAAATCAATTCTGAGTGGCGTGCTAAAATATGGGGATAGAGAGAATTGTTCGCTAGACTGTGCACGTGGCTGTTTTCCTAGCACGTCAACACATAAATATAAAACCAAAAACGTGGTCTCGTTGCTTGGTTTTCAGTGGCTAGGGTATCAGGTTTCTAACGCTCGATACTGGTGTTTTTGGGGAACGGTATGAAAGCCAGTAAGTTATTATTATTTTTTTACCTGGCATAGAAGCCTGCACGCAGTCGACACTGCCTTTTGACGTCTGCAAACACCATGTTGCCTGTTTGTCCAAAAGGATCGAATGTCTACTTGTACCATGTGGTGAAACTGATAAAACCGAAAATCTCTTTGAGAATCCTCTGATGGATTACATAATTAACTCTTCAAGCAAATACACAGTCTGAAGTCAAGTTGATGCGTGTTAAAGAAGTGCTGGATATTGATATGTGGTAGATCACATTTGAAGAGAAGAATCCGTCACATTTGGTCGAGAGTAAACTGGTTATACCTGTACAGAGCGCATTCTAATGGCTGGAAAGGGTGTGTTAAAGCGGACCGACAGTTCTATTGGTCAATGAGAAAGTGGTCCTCAACTAAGAGTTAAAATTCTAGGGCTAAACTAACTCATCCCATAAGGTGCGCAGTTTCTGAATAAGTCGACATTACGTTCAACGTTGATGATTTTCATCAGCAACAAAATGCTCAGAGTTACAAGTTCTCTCTGATAATGTTTGCAAGCTTTAAGTTAACCGGATCTAGGGGTAAGTCCACAAAAACCCTACTCACTTTATCGGGGTACAAGTGGTCAGAAATGCAATAGGAAGACAGGAAACGTGTGAGGGAGGTGTCATAAAACACTGTATCTATGTGGCACTAATAATATCAGAATGAAAGAATCGAATTTGACAGAAACGATGGTCATAACTTCTTCACGAGCTATACCAGGTGGCATTTTTCCAAGCTCTGCTGGATCAAGTTAACGCTCCCGTTTTGGGGTTACCATCCCAACGGCGAGCTACACTTGTACTCAATAAAGATATTTAATAGTGTGAAAGTGAAAGTGGATGCTTTAATCCTAAACTGATTTCAACAAGATTGGTTGCGTCAGAGAAGGGTAGGTTGCTCGCATTGACGAACCCTGCTTCCAGAACAAACGAAACCATATTCAGTACCACGACAGTCGATTGCTTCTTTAGGGGTTCGGCCACGGTAGGCATTATGGAGATTCTGAGAACATGCCTGTTCGCTCCTTGACTAAAAAGGTCTTCTATGAAGCAGTCCGAAGCAGTCACATTTCTACATGAGCATTTCACAAAAAAGCAAATCAGTCTCACGGAGTGATGATATGGCAACGTAGACAGACGGAACAAACAATACCAAACATTTGAAGTTTTCCAGAGATATAATGAGTCACAGTGCGAACGGTGAGGTTTTCTGAAGGGGCAGAATTATGAATGTGGCTTCATCAAAACATATACATTTCCTCTGGCGGACCATATGAACGCTTGACTCATAGAAGACTGAGAAGCGAATCTCAACCGTTCAGTTATTGTACAATAGAGTAAAACTCATTAGAGATAATTGGCATCCCCAGACACACAAATGAGTGAAAAATCTGTACATGACTGTTATTGTTCTTGAGGTCTCTTGTCCGCTATCTCAACCTGGGACACTATTCAAGGGCTTGGGAATTCACATGAGCAGTAGTGAAAGTGCTGATGACTACGCAGTGTAAACTGTTCAAAATTTCGATCAACGGGAATAGACTTTATTACAGAGAAAAAAATTATTGACATCATTATACTGCCAAGGTCATTAGAGGAGGACAGGTTGTCACATTTCCCGTAATTGGTGTCACTCATGTGTGCTTTGTCGCTTGCGCACGCATGTTCACTATTTACTTGTTTCGCATCTGACCTAAGGACCGAGTTTCATGTCAAGGGCGGTCTGTCAAGCTTGAATCTGCTCTGCATTATGAAACAAGACCAGGCCGAATGGTATATAATTCTACACTACCTGAAACGAAGCGCCCACCTGATTCAGCACATCTCCATGCACCTATATCAAGACTTTGCAGCAGAGTATGCATATTATCGAAGGTAACCCGATGGCCCTTAGCGAAAGCTTTCAGATGTGTGTCCCAGGCCTGGACTCACCACCGATTCATTCGATTCAACTCTCTGTTGGACTACCGTATCTAGTTTATGACACGAAGCGTGCTCACTAAAGAATACTGGATACGCGTTATTCTTCGATGTTTGTTTGATATGGGTAATCTCGCCTTCAGACAAAGCTGTATACGGAAAGCCAGTGTGCAAACTGTCGTTCTGTCAATGCTTAATGGGTGGGTTGAATTAAGGTCTGAGTAGCGTTGCGTTGGTTTATGAATTGTGAATCAAAGACTCCCCGGAGAATTTGCAATTAAGAGAAGCAATCGTTGTGCTCTAAATAGCCGATGTTCTACAGCGAGACGAGTGAGCTTATTCGGGAATTCGAGATATAATTAGGAGTGATTAACTTAACACTTAACATGAACGTGGCAAACGTCAAAGTATTTCAACAAAATTCTCGAACGGTTACCGAAATCACCCATCGGTCAACAGCGAAGCTTGGCAAACTAGTGATTACTCCATCACTCAGTCGATAAATTCGGCCGTTAAACCTGAATAAAGTAGGTCACAAATATAATACCGGACCACGTGTAACCCCCTGCACCGGTAGTGTAAGGAAGACTATTCAGCGTATTATCTTCATCATTACCAAGATTTATTTGGTTTACTATCCGAAAAAAATCACGCAAATTTTGGCCGTATTACCCTGAAGCGGCTGCAATTTCGTCGCAAGATGTACGTGCATGAAATAGCCAATATTAGTTACTGTCCGCAGAAGGGTGCGTATTCGGTGCTGTTCCAAATCTGATCGGGCTGTCCCATTTGGGGATCAGACAAAGCATGATGTCATGAAGATAGTGTGACACCTGTGGCTTTAGTCTGTTACAATGTCGTGTCAATAAGCTCGTGTGGTCGACTACTTTGCCCTTACAGTCGTTACGACCCATTATAACCGTGACGTATCTCCTTTACCATTCCTCGTGATATGTGATTTTTGGCGTCTGAGAGCACACCATTCGTTGTCCGTGAGATTAACGCTTGCTGGCCATGTTTCTTCAGGATTTCTGTAGTCCTGTTTGATGTTTTGTTTACCAGTGCGGTCGGCACTCTCCTCAGTTGCGGTTAAAAAAGATCTCCAAGCCATGTTGAAATTTAGGCCCTTTACAATATTGATTTGTTAGCTCTGCGCAGGCTTTTACCAGGCGTGTTCTGAACAGTTGTGATTGGTGGCAGTTCTACTTAACATATCCGGTATTTCCACAATGGTCCAACGACTCACAGCACCTAAACTCTTTTCACACTAGCATTACCTCTATGCCACGTACAAAAGACTACTGATTTATTGACAATGTACAGCGATTTCACTATACGATGTGCTGATACTACCGTACAACTTGGTTGTTAAATGATACTAAAAAACAGCATTTCAAGCAATTTAGTTGGTCAAAATCTAGATGACCTCAATACTGAATGTGAGTATGTGAGCTCATGTGGCGGATAAAATTGGGTGCTCTGGCACCAGAAAGAATGTATGTGGTGCATGTGGTCGCTCAAACATTTACTGCACGCCTTTTGATTTTGCACATCATGGACTTCAAATGCGGCAGATCACCTGGTTGGTTTTGCAAACGCAGGCCTCTGTTTTGTCTGGTTGTTGCAGCAAACAATGATACACGATAGTAGATACTGCGAGCAAGCTCAAAAGGGTTTTTTTCGCTTTCATGTAAAAGAAAACATGTCACGCAATCACCAATTATAAATTTTCAGAAATTCAGGAGTGGAACACTGAGAATTCTCAGTGCGAGAAAAGCCACAAATATTTGAACCGCTATCAGCGACAGAGCAGATGGTCCGGTTTCATGAGAACGGTGGTAGAAACTCCAGGTCAGTAAGCCCTGGAGATGCAAGAAAAAATGTTTTCTTGAATTTCTCACTCAAATTAAAGTGTCGAAATATACTGAGCTGCTTGAGAGCAAAGATTTGGCGGTACCCTCAAAGGTTATCACAAACAAAGACAGCATTCTGCGTTCAAATTTGAAACGCCATGCTTGTAAAGAAAACTAGGGAAGCCTGTTGCCAAATGACGGATGAATTTACTGAAAGATGCAAATACTATCAGCTTCACACAAGCTTTGACACCTAAAAGTCTGTTCGCATCAGTATTCATTTTGGCGCAGAAATCAGCTCCC